GGAAGTGATCGAGCATTTCGTGCGTAACTGCGTGCTTTGGAGCCTTACGTGAAAGTTTGGAGACCGTTCAGCCGGCCCGTTTTCACTGCTGTTTATCACTAATGATGATTACCTTTAGCTGTGTCCGACCGTAATCGAGTGGAGTGCGACGATCTTGCGAGAGCCATCACCACAAAAATTCTGCTTTTCGCAGATGACGTTAAAAGTTAGCCGGCGATCAAGGAAATGAACGACCACAAGATCCTTCATCTGCGACCTAGATAGGACGTGGCATTGACCGGTGAGGTAGCCACTGTCATTCAATCTGGTCAAGTGACACGTTGTCCACATCTGCCTTAGACACTCCTATCTCTACAAACTTGGGGCATACGACCTGCAGACAAGCCCTCAAGAATTTGCTCTCGGTGTGCTGATACTGGACGACTTCGGTTATTTCAGGCAGTCGGAATCCGTTTCAAAAGTTGTAACAAGCACGTTGTTAGCTTGCGGATGGCATTCGTAAGTTTGGATTCCTATATCTTCTCTATGATGCTAGATGCCTACGTGCGTTCCCACGTCGAATCCGCAATCCAGGCTTGGCACGCTTGGCTAAAGCGTGACCTTGCAGCGCTCAAAACTCTCCAAGATCGAGCAACAAAATGTGTCAAGAGATTGTGCAACCTTTCGTACCAGCAGCGACTAAAAACACTCGAAGTTTTAATTAGACGCCCCAGGTGGCCACGTGTAACACTCATATTAGTATACCAGATACGGAACGACCCCACTTACTTATGTCACCACCTACTGCAACTCATCCCGAACACGAATTTTAGAGGCAATAGCCTGAAACTAAATCAGCTACACAGTCGGCTTTTCATTAAGGCTGGACGAATCACAACTCATAGCGACCCAGTGATTCCGCTATAAGTAGCCATCAAACGTTTCGGTGCCTACGCTGTTTATGTGCTCAACGACAGCCTGGACGCTAATAATTCTATCTGAACTTAGGCATTATTAGCACCATTTGCCCTTTAACCTATTTGTGAAAGAGGATAAGTATGTTAACAGAAGTGTATTGGAACGATTATCTATGCTGGTGAAGGATATGTTCAAAATGTCCGCCGGCTTTCTGCTTGCAGTGCAGAAACCGCTTGATGCAATTGGCGAGCACTTTCTCCAATGTATCCCTCGTGATAGCGCGACATTCGTTTACAATATTTTCTTTCCATTAGTCCAGTGTAGGCGGCCCCATAGAAAAATAATCAATGAGGTGCAAAGCTGGTGAGCGAGCAGGCCACTCCAATGGTCCACCGCGTCCGATCCAATGATAACCAAATTTGTCGGTGAGGTAAGCACGCACCGTTTTATTAGCAGAATATGCAGGTGCATCATCCTGCTGACACCAAATGGCAATGTATGTCCCTTCGGTCACCAGCTGTGGAAGCACAAATCTCTGCAGTATTTCCAAGTACGACGATGCTAAGAAAGGATAAGGATTTAGTACTTCAAAACAATAACCTATCGGTCACATTCCCGGGAAAGAAATATGGGCCTAAGATTTTCTGGCTTGTTAATCCAGCCCAAACCAACAATTGCACACTGTGGTGCATAGGTGATACGGTATAGTTTCTTGGGTTGCTGCTAGCCCAAGAGTAATTTTTTGTAGTTCCATGCAGATGAAACAATGCCTCATCAGTAAAGATGACAGAACGAATATCCCCGTGACTTAGAAACAAACTGCAAAATTCATGCCGCTGCTCCGGCTCGCAGGGGTTAAAAACCGGTACTTGAAGTGCAGGGAAGTTTCGTTCCTGTAATATCCAGTGTACCGCATATCGGGTCTTGTCACAGTGCTGTGCGATCCGACGAATGCTGAGATCCGGACTTTTTGAGACTTCACTGACTACAGCGCAAGCTGAACAGTCGTCTGTGTGGATGCTAGGCGGTTTGGTTCACTTCACGTCACACATGCCCAGTTTTCTCGAACTTCTTCACTAGTTTAAGTACCCACCGGGCGGTGACGAAAGGCATTCCTGCATTCATCACATTGTATCTTTGTGAAGTTGAGGCGGTATTTAAACCGTATTCACCGTACAGCCGATTAAGCAGCGCGCGCTGAATAACAGGCACATTAGGTGATCCCGACTGCATTGCCTGCTCGTGATCCATTCCCTGGGGAAGTGATTCAATGATGTCGACACGACTTGCAATTCCTAACATCGTCCTCAGCTAATCCAAAACCTCTCGTTTGCTGAGGTGCCATAACGTGCGCATATTCACGCCGCAGTTTTCAGTGCGCGCTTTATCTTGCCCAAGTAGGCTACTCTGCGTAACCAGCGAGACACGAAGATAACCATCGATCGCTCCAATACCTACCGTTAGCCATGCCCTTCAACACTCAGCGCGAAGTTAGTTGACAGCTAACGACCGCCGGAAACACGTTGTGACTGTCTGCACTCATCTCGCTCGATGACCAAAACAGGTTCATATGGCCTGTCAGCGCGGCCTTCACCAGCTTATGCCTGTACTCAGCTGAGCCGTGCACTAAATCACTCGTCTACCAAGAATTCCACACATCCTCACCACTAAGGTGAGAGAGAAATTCATTTTTTTGCAAGCACAGTAGCATTTTGCGACTTTCGCTAAATATTGGATTGCTATTGGATGGTGGGGCAACAACCGTAAATGACCGGTGTCCGCCATAAGCGAGCCACGGTAAGCGCATGAACGCGATCACCGGCCTTCTGCCGCCAGGCTTACTGTAGATATAAATAATTACTTGCATATATATATATATATATATATATATATACGTGTGTGTGTAGCATTTCACTAATGGTGATGTGGCGGTGTGTGCTTGTGAAAACCGCAACGTAATCTCAGGAGTTTCGTTTCCAAAGATTCCAAACTGCTAAGTAGGGCCTGGACGATGTGCCCTATGAATAGGGATCAGGCGGGGTTAGATGGCTCATAGTAATTTATTCCAACTTTTATCTTCGTCCTTAAACTATCACAGTTTAGCACTTTTGGAACTAACGTACAGTGGCTGCTTCATGGCCGAATTATCACAAAGCAAAACACAGCAGGCACATGGAAGACAAAACTGTATTCTAACTGGTGTGTTGTGAAGCAGTGACGGCCGGCTCCGTTTATGAAATGTGGCTCCAATTCACATGCCTCCCGGTCTTATTCCTTCGGGTTGACACCAGATATGGGGTGTGTGGGTGGAACTGTGGGTGGTGCCGCGAAAGCCACCCATGGCCCGCAGTAGGCGCAGGCGTCCCGTGACTTTGTCCAGGGAGGTCATAGTGACCGGCAAATCCGGATACGGACGCCGCCAAACCATGCTGTACAACGCATCGGCCCATTATTCTTTTCTAGGCCAGTCGATAAACGGTGAGCGGGTTACTGACACATGCCAGCAAATGCAAGCAACGAATAGAAATGTCTCAGTTCCTTGGCTATGAGGATGCCACAGGATGAAGAAGCGCTTTTAGTATTTTGGAGGAAAAACTGGTACAAGCGTCTAGGTGCATGACAACAAAAAAGCCACTAGTGACTCTCTGGACAATCCGCTGCATATGGAAATAAGCTTTATGGACCGTAAAATCCATGTATAATCATTTTTGTGTAACTCCGGGAGGATCACAGAGGAACGGTAGAGCCAATGTGGTAGTATACATGTGGTTACAAATCTAATAATTAAATCACTGGGTCCTACAAGTACCTTAAGTCGAAAAGTATAAAATAACAACCATCTTAGAAAATGTCTAGACAACGTGGGTAGACCAAGTTGTGTTTTAGGATAAAATAACCCCTAGAAATTCAATACTTGATGATCTGGATGTAACCTGATCACTCACTGCCAATGCAGAAGTGGCGTCTAAAATAACTTGTAACATGTTAGCTCGGAGAAAATATAATGTCAAGTCACGACATTTAGAAGGGTACAAAATCAGGGATCGGGATGAGGACAAAAGCACGAGCTCATCTAGACCATGGTGGAAAATAGTAGGTGTCCCAACGGTTGGTGTTAAGCATTCGAATACGATATCGTCAGCGTACTTGCGTTCAATAAAGGTAGATGGTACGGGGAGCTTTCAAGGTGTAAAGAAAATGGAGCGGGTTACTGGATGGCTCCCTGTGAAACACCTCTAGTAGGAAGCGACGCAGAAGACTTCGCTCCATTAGTCTGTACGAATTCAGTGCGAGTTGTGAAGTTGTCCTTTACCACGCTGCAGAAATCTTGAAACCCCATTTGCAAACAGCTGGTTAAGCAGGACAGATCGGGCAGCGCTACCGAAAGGATCTGTGTAGTCGAGAAACAGGAGGCGAAGTGCCCCGCTTTATCGTCCAGTGCAGCTGTTACAGAATGCACAAGGTATGAGACCGCATCCAGTGTGGAGCGGCCATGTTTGTAAGCGAATTGGTATATATCGTCGACACTTGTTCGTGTGAAAATGTGAGGAGCAAGTAGTTTCGCAAAGATCTTCAACATCACCGATGTTCGTGCTATTGGACGATACTATTTATGGTCCTTCTTTGGAACAACTGTTATTCTACCATGTCTTCTAATGTTAGGGATGGCGCGCTCTAAAAGACATCGGTTGAAAACTGCAGTCAGAGGTTCCGCAAGATAATCTGCACAATGCTTTAGGGCAGGTGGTGAGGAAGTATTATTATTATTACTGGATTATTATTATTGGGTTTCCCATTTCATTATTCCATGCTTGATTCGGTTCCAGATAAATCAGCCATCGAATGAATGTACATCTGCGTACACAAACAAAAGCCAGATACAAAGGTGCATTTTTTGTCCATTTGACTTCTGGAGAGGGCAGACAGCATATTATGAGAAAATTTATTTGTCATTGTTTTATTCCCATTCATCATTTACGCGCCTGTTTAATTGGTTATCGTAATTGATATTTGCTGCTTTATTAATTTCAGTAATAGTTTTTGCACGCGCAAATATGCGAGAAATATTGACTTTAAATTGTTTGTACATACCCCACCTACAGGCTTGTGCAACAAAATGCTCGATAGCACCACCGTTGCAGAACATGAAGGTGAAGTGTTTTGCAAACAGTGCCACGGGCGCAAATTCGGACCTAAGGGTTATGGCTTTGGAGGCGGAGCTGGCGCGTTGAACATGGACAGCGGTACACATTTGGGCAACGTGAGCACTGAGATGAGGTGAGTACAACGGAGTGAGTTGAATCATTTGTCTCCCAAACTCGCACAAGCCTAGATCTAAGCAAATGAAGCGGCAAATAAATACCCTTGAGATGTCACTCCTGTTCGTTGTTGATTAAGATTGTCCAAAGAAAGTTAACACGCTCTTGAACCGCAGCCTAGGACCGCTTGTTCGCTAGGCTTCACCAAGCCGTCCGGCTGTTAGACGTCCCCAATATGCAGTGAACCGGCCAGTCTAACTACTTATGAAGAGAGGTGAAGTAAACTTTCGCTATGAACAGGTTTTCCAAATCAAAGTAACCGAGTTGTAACTTTAAAAGTTTCGTGTGTTATGGATACATGTGCATAGAGTCAGGCTACTTTAAAACAATCACAATGAATGGCATACATTGTACCTGAGCTGGGCACAAGGAGAAGACCAGGTGCGTTAAGATTCGAAATTGCTTTGTGATTGTCTCTGCTAAGGCGTGCGAAAGTAGAAACAAATTAGATATCGCATATTCTCGGTTCTCAAAAAAGCACTAAAGCAGGTATTGTTAGATCTGCCTCATGGTATGCGATCCCAATTGAACTGATTTGGTCCTCTGCTAGCTCCGAATCCCAGCCGAAATCAGCAGTCAACGCTTGGGGCAGAAGCGCGTCGTAGAATCTGCTACTGAAAGGAAGGCAAGTAGTGTGAAATCAATGGACCTTTGCATCAGCTACGGTCCTCGTGCTCGCAAGACAAAGGTTCACAATAACGGGAATCGCGGTCAAAATTGAGGCTGCGCGTCGTAATCCATCCACACAACGTGTAGTTCAAAATGACCCTCAACATCGTTCATTAAACCGTTGTGCCAAGCGTTGGCACTTTCTGACCTGGCGGCTTAGGGGTAGCGCTCACAACTAACATCCCAATGGTCCCGAGGTAGATGCCTGCTAACACTAGCTGATGAGATGAAATAACATCGAAGCGCGTTATAGTAGTGCAGTGTTTTCGGGCGGGCAACACCTAATTTCTAGTTGTATCAACTCAGGAATGTTCAAGTATCTGAAGTGATGCGTCAGCTGTCCTGATTTGTAGATCAGTTACGCTAACCAATGGAAAGGTCGGTCCGCACTTCGTGGGGACGCGAATGTTCGTGAAATGACGTGATGTTTCGGTTGTTCACCATTAGCTCAACGCATTTTCCCATTGAAATAAGGTGTTATCCTGGGAGATGTTATTCTCCTGGACAGAGATGGTCAGTTACTTAAATCAGTATCGATTCACGGATACCAACTCGACGGATTGCGCGCAAAATTTTATAGATGCGTATCTATCGACTAGTCTGACAAACTCTTAATAAATAATAATGATATCAACTGGGTGTTCAATTTGAAGAATTACGTTGAAGCCTGCTTTGTTTAAGAAAAGTTTCGTCCGACCGTATATTGATAACTCAAAGTAATTTTCTAAGGGGAGGGGTTAATTTGGCGCAGCAGCGTAGACTGTCTACGGAGAACGTTTCGACTTTCGTGGTGGATTTTTGTTAGACATTTGTGCTTTTTGGTGACAAACAGGGAGGCTCCATCCGAAGCGCACAATGACGAACTGTTGGGTGAACCATGCATTGTCCAGGTACGATTTTCCACACACACACACACACGCTTGACGCATGTGCTCCCGGGTCATGTGGAGTAATTCTCTCTAACTTCTCACTATCTTCTCACAGCATATTCACTGTACGCTCATTCGAACCGGATTTACCAGCTCTACACAGTGATCCATCATATGTGGAATTATCTTCTACCACTAAAGTCCTAACCATCACTAACACATTTGACTGTCATGCATGAATGAACACAAGTGCATAACTCATTCACCTTATGCTCATTGCCATTCTGTGTAGCACCATTCGCTGCAGAATTCTCGAGGCAGTCCCAAAAGCCTAAGCTTCTTCCAATCCGGTGTTCCGCAATGCAATCTGTGTTCAGCGTTGTGTTTAGATTCATTTACTAGGTCCCAAACCAGCCGGGCCTAATGTCGATCGATCATCCGATTAACACTGCAACGTGTGCTTACAAGGGATCACTTCTGACAGCGGGAGCGCCACGCTGACTCATTGAAGCGGGAAGCTGCATAAACTGATAATCCGACAAACCCGTGACCTTAAAAATTCACTCCCTCGGCGAACATGTCTCACGTTAAGAGCAAGTGTGAGTTGTGTGTTAAATTGGTGAAGAGTGGGATAGTTTGCAGCAGTTGCTTGAAAACCTATCACACAAATATCTTGGGACGGGGACGATGAAAACAAGACGGTACAATAACACAACGGTAGCGTTTGCTTCTGCCTAGTATGTAGTGCTATCCCAGTTGTTAGCTATCTAACTGTGCTAATGAAAAACTGTGAAAGACCACAAACTAATCAGTCGAGCAACTGGTGTGCGCCAGGGTTTCACCTATGGGAGGAAATGAACCTGCACTTGATGTGCAAATAGCACCTCGGATTCCTCTTTCAGGCCGAAGAAGAGAGTCAGACATCCAAATCTTACCCCAACGATTCAGTCACAATCAGTACCAACTCCCTTCTCTCCCCCATAAGTAACAATATTGTCTGCAGCCTGCCTGCTTCAACTTCTGTACAGTGTGTTACACTTAGTAGTTTTTGCATTATACGCGAGACCATAAGCTACAGTCAACGAGCCATAGTGAAGAACCAGATAACATACGCATCGGTTGCAGCCAAGCAAACACCAAAAATAGCACCAGTAATCTTAGTAGCCGGACTAGAGAAAACTATAATGTCGCAGCACAGATGGGCTCCATCAGTGCCGTTCACAAATTCACCAAAGGCACCGGAAACTAAGGCTCTAAAACCAGTGGCCATCATGCGCAACCAGGGTGGTTTAAACCTTGTGTGCACTGATGTCCCTGAATCCAAATGCAATACAATTAAGGCTAGGCTGACAGACGATCGAAATCAATGGCATTCCATCTGTACGGCCATTAGTGTCCATGCTGATCCCAAGACATTAAAACCCATCTCGTGTCACCCAAACGCATTACACTACGGTGAACCCCGGTTACTTCGGATAACGTTAAAATCGGCGGATGAGACAGAGGTCGTTCTGCTGTCTGCGAAGCGGCTCCGCGATGCCTCAAGCGGAGTGCGCACACTATCCGGAATCCCGTTGAAAGCACGTGGAGCAGATCCCACTAACAGAGAGAGGAACAGAAATGGTATAGATAAGCAAACCGTTATTTCTCACGGTGTTCCTGAACTTACTGATTCCTACTCCAATGATGCGCAGGTACACGCCCGGGAGCAATGACACTAAATCTGTGAGGCTTTTTCTCTCGAAAATGTCGTGACCATCTCTCTGACAAGAATCTCCGCATCACCGAACTATAAGGCTGATGTCCTAGGCTGTTGAAACTGGTGTTGAAATCAGAACTAACGGCACAAACTCTTCTAGAGAGCTGGACTAAATTCCGTAGCAGGTTGCCAACGGAAATTCCTCTGAAAGCAACAGGAACATCCCACTTTCTAATGACAACTCAGTGGAGGCGCAACTCTCAATGAAAACACCAATTATAGGACCTGACTCGCTAACGGCTTCAACAGTAGCCAAAACATCCGGAAGGATACAGAAGATCACTAGAGAATACCAGGACCCGGGGCATTTGATACTTGAGTATATACCAAATTCGTCTCGAGAGTCTGCAACCCATCTAAAAAACGATTAGCCACCGAACTTACTTCGGTCGGCGTAAACTCACTTGCTTCATCCAGCCCATCCAACACACTGGTCTTGAGAAGCTCTCATGAATGTACACAAATGCTCAAGGTCTACACAGCAAATTAGCTCAATTAAGACTTCGACATGCGTCAGCAGCGTGGGACCTCATCGCTATCACGGAAACGTGGTTGTGCTTTGAGATAGCGGATACCGAAATCGCGCTAACAGGTATGTCCGTCGTCCGGAATGATCGAGCCAGCAAAGGTGGTGGGGTGGCCACTAGTTTTGTAAAAGCCTGCAGTGCGAACCCATACACGATTCGGAAACTGATATACCTGACTCCATTTGGTGCAGCTTCCGGCTGACGGAACGATCTTGGCCTAGCGGCCGTTGCTTACCACCACCATCGTCTACGCTTGAGATGGACTGCAACTTGGTGGCTTCGTTGAGGCAGGTGATAAACAGGAATTGCAATCATGTTCCAGCCAGCGACGGTTTCAACTAACGTGCTCCAGAATCCCAGGCCACAGCAGGATAGTAATTCAAAGCAGACCAGCATGGTCTTGCCTTAGATTTTTCGCTTTACGGCCACATCATTTCGCCCACCAGATTCAGGGGAAATAACAATCCATCCATGTTGGACCGAATATTCACCAGTGAAGAACTGATGATGTAGAGAGTGGTAATCAATAATCTTCTAGGCCGATGTGTTAATACGAGTTTGCATTTCATGTACACTTGCTATGATGAATATCCCGAGGACAGAAATCAAACGACGCGAAGCATAATCAGTTACCACACCTTAACCCGACTCGTTGCAGCGACCGACTGGAGTTTCCTAACCGAGGATGCACTCGATATTGTCTGTGAACGCTTCCTCAGTAAGTTTAACACCTTGGTTAGTGGAGCACTGAGAACCAAAATAATCAGTTTGAGAAACATGGCGTCGTTTAAAGGTGTAGGACACGCAAAGGCATTGTGATGCGCAACGCGTCGTGGTATATCCACAAAACCGATCAGAGTCCGAGTACCTGGAAGGCCTATGTTGTCCAGGGTAACCACTGTATTCAATTACAAGGAACAATGAACAAGGAATTTATACTGGTTATGAAGCATTGCTTTACAGGTCCCGTTGGATAGTTGGCGGGGATGTTGAAATAATAATAATGATAATAATAGTAATAAAAGTACAACAGTTAGTAGCTTAAATATGAACCTGAGGACTTATCGTTTGTTCCGCCGTGGTCCTGCAATCCGCTTAGATTCACAGCACCCACAATGTTGTGTATTCTGTCAGC